CGGCACTCACAGGCAAAACCACGTTTTAAGACGTGTGTTTTGTAAACAAATAGGGGGTGCGCGCGAGGCACGCCGCCGCCCTATTTGTCCCGGGGATCACCGCTGCAGATGTCAGTCGCCGGGTCACAGCCGCTCGTTAGCGGCTATGTTTCGGCGATCGGCGGCAAACAGTGACAGAGAGCACAGCTGCAGTAGCTGTGCTGTCTGTCACTTCCCTGTCAGCTTGAGGATGAGCTGATCGAGAACAAAGAGTTTCTCTTTCTCGATCAGCCTTGTCCCGCCCAGTACACCCCGTCCCCTAGTAAAACACTCCCCTCACTCCTATAACCCTTCCCTGCAAAATAAAGTTAACCCCTTCCTCCCCATTGCCATTAGTACAGTGTCAGTTTTTTTTTTTTTGCACTGATCACTGTATTAGTGTTTTTGGGGATGTCAGTGACCCCAAGTCAGAACCCCCCAATGTCAAAATGTCCGCCGCAGTCCCACCATAAGTCGCTGGTCGCTGCCATAAGTCCCTGATCGCCGCCATAATTCGCTGATCGCCACCATTATTAGTATGAAAAAAAACCTAAAAATCCCAGTATCTTTCCCGCCATTTGTAAACGCTATAACTTTCACGTAAACCAATTAATTTACACGTATTGGGTTTTTTTTTTAGCAAAGATATGTCGCAGAATGCATTTTGGCAGAAATTTATGACTAAATTTGATTTTTGCATTTTTTTTTACTGGACATGTTTTATAGCAAAAAGTCCAAAATATTGTTTTTTTTTCCTCAAAATTGTCAGCCTTTTTTTTTATAGCGCAAAAAATAAAAACCGCACAGGCGATCAAATACCACCAAAAGAAAGCTCAATTTGTGGGGAAAAAAAGGATGTAAATTTCATTTTTGTACTGTATTGCATGACCGCGCAATTGTCCGTTAAACTAGCGCAGCGCGGTATAGCAGAAAAACGGCGTAAATTGCAGTATCTATACCATAGTTTGTAGACGCTATAACTTCCACACAAAGCAATCAATATACACTTATTGGGATTTTTTTTACCAAAAACATGTAGCAGAATACATTTTGGCCTAAATTTATAACCAACTTTGAGTTTACTATATATTTTTTATAGCTGAAAGTAAAAAATATTGTTTTTCTTCAAAATCTTTGGCCTTTTTATGTTTATAGCGTGAAAAATAAAAAGCGCACAGGTGATCAAATTACATGGACACATGTCAAGGATTGCCCAGTAAGCAGAAGGCACTGGAACCTCTGTGTAACACAGTGCAACCTGAAGAAGTGGCATATCAGCCATGAACCGCGTCTTTCGGTGTAACCAATTAGGGACAGTTCACACCACAAAAACACACTCCAGATGCACAGTTCACACCACACGCAGTTCTAGTTCAGTTTTGATGCAGTTTGTTATGTTCCAGTACAGTTCTGTGCAGAAAAAATATAGCATGTTTGTTTTCTGCATCAGAAACTGACTGGAACTGACTGCACTCTTGTGAACTAGAACCATTGGAATACTTGGAAAACACTGTGCATGCATTTTTGATCCAGAAAAAAAACGCACGGGACTGCATTTAGTGTGATCTAGCCCTAAGGCTATGTTCACACCTATGCAGTTTGTGTTTGATACGTTTCTGCAGTGCTTTTTGCTGTTTTTTCTGCATTTTTGATGCGTTTGCATTTTTTTGCATTGTTCAACTTGTTGCTGGGCAGAATAAAATGCAAAATGCATCAAAAATGCATATAAAATGCATCAAAAACACACTACATGCTTTTCTGCAGCGTCTCCATTGAAGCCTATAGAACCGAAAAAACGCAATGTTTTGCATTTAAAAAAGTCCCTGACCCTTTCCAAAAAAATGCAGCATGTTCTACTTTGTGTTCTGCACCGGAAACTGACTGCACTGGTGAGAACTAGGGCCATTGGAATACATGGAAAACACTGTGCATGCATTTTTGATGCAGAAAAAAAACACACGGGACTGCATTTAGTGTGATCTAGCCCTAAGCTATGTTCACACCTATGCAGTTTGTGTTTTATACGTTTCTGCAGTGCTTTTTTTTTGTGTTTTTTTTCCCTGCATTTTTGATGCGTTTTGCAGGGGTTTTTTTTTTTTTTCATTTTTCAGCTTGCTGCTGGGCAGAATAAAATGCAACATGCATCAAAAACACGTAAAAAAATTCATAAAAACGCATCAAAAACACACTACATGCTTTTCTGCAACATTTCCATTGAAGCCTATACAACCAAAAACTCAATGTTTTGCATTTAAAAATGTCCCTGACCCTTTCCAAAAAAATGCAGCGGGTGAAAACAAGGAGATGGGAACCTGTCCCATAAGAAATCATGTTAAATGGACTGCTGTGCGTTTCTGCAAAACGCAAAACAGAGCGGAAAATGCATAGGTGTGAACCTAGACTAAGGGCAGGTTCACATTATAGAAACACAGTCTAGATGCACACCAGATACGTTTGCGCATGCACGTTTTTGATGCTTTCCAGGGCGTTTTTTATGTGTTTTGACACGTTCTAGTACATTTTTTTATGCATTCCCGTTCATTTTTTTTCCCTCTTTTTTTCTTCAATTTAAATAGGGGACATGTGCATTCCGGTGCGTTTTTTATGCGTTTTACCGCGTTCCGTGAAGAAAAAAATGCAGCCTGTTCTACTTTTTTCTGCTACCAGAACTGCAAGCACTGATGTGAACTATGACATTAGTTATTATTTAATTATTTCAGGTACTTATATAGCACCATCAATTTACACAGCGCTACATATATATTGTACATTCACATCAGTCCCTAACCCTCAAGGGGCGTACAATCTAAGGTCCCTAACTTACATTCATACATACACATATTGGGGCCAATTTAGACAGGAGCCAATTAACCTACCAGCATGTCTTTAGAGTGTGGGAGGAAACCCATGCAGGCACAGAGAGAACATGCAAACTCCAAGCAGGTGGTGCCGTGGGCTGGAATTAGAACTGACGACCCTAGCACTGCCAGGTGGAAGTGCTAACCATTTAGCCACTGTGCTGACATTGACAACCATATAACCTACTTTCTGTGTGTTTTGGATGCAGAAAAAAAGCAACTGAAACGCATGGAGTGTGAACTGGCCCTCAATGTTTGCTCATTATTTCTGATTACCTCCAACCTTCCATGACCATTTCTAAAGGCGCCTCTGCCGCAAAAGCCATTGACAGATTTTTTTTTCTCTTTACTTACAAAGCTCTGTGTAACATCACATAAACTGATGAAGTGGCATGCAAGCCACGAAAAGCACCTTTTGGTGTAACCAGTAAATATTTATATAAAACATTTATCCCAAAAAGAACAAACTGCTGTAAAGGTTTTGCTTATTATTTCTGATGACTTCAATCCTTCCATGACCATTTTCAGGGACATATTCACCACGCAAGTCATCCACAGGTTGTTGCTCTGCACTTACATGAGCAAGTGGCTGCCACTCTGCACACCAACCACAGGGGATTGTTTTCTCAGTACTGTCGCCATTTATGGAATGCCTCGTATTAATTCCAGCAGATACAAGGCATTCTCTGATTGGATGAGGTGGAAAAGAGAGGCAGTGATGTCATGATCTCCACCTCGCCCAATCAGTCAATACCTTGTAATTATTGAAAAAAATGTAATGCATTCTATGACAGGTAGTGGTGATGAATGAGCAACTCCCAGTGGTCAGTTTGCAGTCAGAACCTGACAAGGCTATCATTGTAGTAGCGTCCATCAGGTGTGAGATATACATACTGTAGTTACATTGGGGCAGCACAGTGGCTAAATGGTTAGCACTTCCACCTAGCAGCACTAGGGTTGTTGGTTCAAATCCCAGCCATTGCACCACCTACCTGGCATTTGCATGTTCTCCCTGTGCCTGCATGGGTTTCCTCTGGGTACTCCAGTTTCCTCCCACACTCCAAAGACATGCTGATAGGTTAATTGGATCCTGTCTAAATTGGCTCTAGTATGTGTAGGTATGAATGTGAGTTACAGACCTTAGATTGTACACACCTTGAGGGTTAGGGACTGATGTGAATGTACAGTATATATATGTAAAGCACTGTGTAAATTGAAGGCACTATATAAGTACCTGAAATAAATACATTGTGCCAAGATGGACCAATGTAAAGCTGGCCATAGATGGGACAAAATTTGGACAGTTCAGCAGGAACTCTCTGAATTGCGATCCATGTGTAGGCATCCATATTTGACAGAAGTCGTTTGTTAGACTTTTATTGATCGGGATTCTTTTAAAATGTTTGTTGATCAGCAGTTGCAGTCACTGATCAGTGCAATCTGAAAGCAGAGAGTGCTGCTGTCATAAAACATCTCAACCTTGGGGATTCCTTCCTTTCTTCCTTTGTTTGTGTGGATGGAGCAATCTGTTCAATTTTTTTTTCAGCCTGCAGGCTGAATGGAAAAAAAAATAACCTGTCTATGGCCAGCTTAAATATATACAATACAGAAAATTCATCTTTATCAATGGTAGGGGCAGGAGGGCCTGATTGATGAGCAACAAAGGACTGCGTGCCACTGGTTCAGGGCTACTGTGAAGCTTTGTTAATGATTGATTGCAAACATTCTTTGTTTTAAATTAAATTTAAGGGATACCAAAAAACATCTTTGTCATCATGTAAAGCTGTGTTACCTGTCAAATGATTTGTATTTTTGTCCATCCAGGTCTTAGATTTACACAGACCTGCCACACCACACAGGGGAGGAGATCTGATCAGGGCCCTCTTAATAGCATCATAGGCTCTTGGGCAAAGTAATGCACTGGGGCCCCCACCAGCCTGCCCCAACTAACACACCTATTCTCAAGAGTTATATATAAATAGTTGACAGAATTAAACATGTGTAAACATGCCATAAATCAAAAGCTAATCAACACAAAGGGCACAGTACAGGGGGAGTCAGGTACTGGGATCAGGAGGGCACAGTACAGGGGGAGTCAGGTACTGGGATCAGGAGGGCACAGTACAGGGGGAGTCAGGTACTGGGATCAGGAGGGCACAGTACAGGGGGAGTCAGGTACTGGGATCAGGAGGGCACAGTACAGGGGGAGTCAGGTACTGGGATCTAGAGGACACAGTACAGGGGGAGTTAGGTACTGGGATCAGGATGGCACAGTACAGGGGGAGTCAGGTACTGGGATCAGGAGGGCACAGTACAGGGGGAGTCAGGTACTGGGATCAGGAGGGCACAGTACAGGGGGAGTCAGGTACTGGGATCAGGAGGGCACAGTACAGGGAGAGTCAGGTACTGGGATCAGGAGGGTACAGTACAGGGAGAATCAGGTACTGGGATCAGGAGGGCACAGTACAGGGGGAGTCAGGTACTGGGATCAGGAGGGCACTGTACAGGGGGAGTCAGGTACTGGGATCAGGAGGGCACAGTACAGGGAGAGTCAGGTACTGGGATCAGGAGGGTACAGTACAGGGAGAGTCAGGTACTGGGATCAGGAGGGCACAGTACAGGGGGAAACAGGTACTGGGATCAGGAGGGCACTGTACAGGGGGAGTCAGGTACTGGGATCAGGAGGGCACTGTACAGGGGGAGTCAGGTACTGGGATCAGGAAGGCACAGTACAGGGGGAGTCAGGTACTGGGATCAGGAGGGCACAGTACAGGGGGAGTCAGGTACTGGGATCAGGAGGGCACAGTACAGGTTCTGGAATGCTGCCTGGGCCATCGCGGGGAAGCTTAGTAAAAAGAGTGACTATCCCGGTCAGTCCAGGACAGCTGGCAAGTATGATGTGATGCAAGATTATCATGGGGCCCCATGCACCTGGGGCCCCTGGGCAGCGCCCAGGGGTGCCCATGTTTTAAGACAGCCCTGGATCTGATTAGTCTGTGCTGTAGGTCATTAACACTTACAGGTCTCCTGCCAATCCCCAACCTCTGATTGGATGACGGAAGATGAAACGGCAAACTAATGAGTTCATCTCACTGTCACTCTGCTGTCTGCTCCTATCAGCATGACACTTACACTGCAACACAACAGATTGACTCGTTGTGCTGCTTCACTCTCCCCAATCTGTGCTCTATGTTACAGGGACTGCAAAAAGCTTAAAGCGGAGTTCCACTCACTCTGTAAAAAAATTAAATTCAGCAGCTACAAAAACTGTAGCTGATGACCTTTAAAAAACAGCCACTCACCTGTCCCATGATCCCACGGTGTCCTCCCCACAGCCCATTTCACCGGCCGTCCTGTATTCCAGGCACCGGCATCTTCAGTATGGGCACTCAGCTGTGACAGCTTGCGACTTCACAGCCGGGTGCCCACTGTGCATGCGCGAGTAGCACTGCGCTTCCTGAATGACCCCGTCGTCTTCTGGGACCTGTCACGTGTCTCACAAGACTTCAGGGAGGGAGGGGGGAGGACAACTTCTGTTTCTGCTCCCCAAAGGTGCCAATCCTTAATGGGGAGCGGGGGACCAATCTTTAAAGCAGAACTTCCCCTTTTGGGTGGAACTCTGCTTTAAGCATAGTCAAATTCAGGTACTTACTATGAATGCATTTAACAATACATTTAAAGGCTAAGTTCACCTTTTAGACAAAAATAATAAATGCACATTTTTTTGCAGGTAAATCGGTAGATCGCTGATGCCATGCAGGTCTCCTGAAGACCTGTCAGTATATCTGCTTGCTGTATGGGGTGTATGGGATGTGCGGGATGTATGGGATGTGCGGGATGTATGGGATGTACGGGATGTATGGGATGTACGGGATGTATGGGATCTGCATGATGTATGGGATGTACATGATGTATGGGATGTATGGGATGTACATGATGTACGGGATGTATGGGATGTACGGGATGTATGGGATCTGCATGATGTATGGGATGTACATGATGTATGGGATGTACATGATGTACGGGATGTATGGGATGTACATGATGTACAGGATGTACGGGGTGTATGGGATGTACAGGATGTACGGGATGTACAGGGTGTACGGCCAAGCAGATATTCTGACAGGAAGCATCAATAAACTACAGCGCTCCACAGCATCGTGGTAGTTCATTAAAAACTACAGGCCCACAGCCGCTAAGGGACATGCAGTTCATTCATTCACAGAAGTCTGTGAATGAGTGACGCAACCGTGTGAGCGGAGCCCTGCATGGCTGTGGTGTTTTCAAATTTGACAGATAGTACGTGGAAACTTCTCCCTGTACTGTCTATCAGCGGGGGGGGGGGAAGCAAGCACAGCTGCGGCTATGGGAACAAGTTTCCACCCTAAAAACGGCTGGAACATGTAACATCTTCCCAAAGGTGAACTTATCCTTTAGTAAACTATTAATGCACACACAGCTGCATTGATGGAGTTCAGCTTTAACCCCATTGTCCCCCGCGGTTCATTAATTAATGTCTTGTATTCAAAGAGTTAAAACAAACTCAGTTGTGAGCTTAGTATAATTTTTTTTCAGCCAGCTCCTGGCTTTCATGCAAAAGTGATTTGTGCAACTATACAGCCGCCTGATCACTTTTAAAATACTATTGACCCCCCCCCCCCCCCCCCACCACCACCACCACAACATCTGTTTCCCAATCTCCTCTGCGATAAATGAACCTGCAGGCACTCAGCTCTGAGAATTTCTAGATTCTGAGCTGTCAAAATCCCTGCTCAGCTGTAATGTGGAGTAGAGAGCAGGGAAAGTATTAGGGGTCTAAGAGACTCCTGATGATTCCATAAAGGGAGCCTGTCACCTGTCAATGCTATCATGTAGGGGGGTTTGGATATATTTTGCTGTTGTTTTGCTGTTGTTTGTTGGAGAGGTTTTTGTTGTTTGTCTTTCTCTGGTCATTATATTGTAGTATTACACAGGGCTCTTTTTTTCTGAGAATAGGTGCATTTACTCTCCCCTTCCTAGTCACCTCTTGTCTCTTCCCCTACCCACCTCCCAGTAGAGAATACTGAACCAAGTATCATTTTGTGGTGATAAGTAGATTTTATGGAATTTGATAAACTAGTTGTAAAGGCAGAATATTTTTTTACCTTATTACCTTCTGTGTGCATTTCCTCCTGCAGCCCCCCACCCCTAAATACATATCTTGATGCAGCGATGTGCACCAAGGCTCTCTCACTCCCCATTGGCTCAGGCCATGGGCTCCCGCTGCTTTTAATCAGAGCCAGTGATGAGGATCTGGGGTGGGGCTAAGCCCTGCTCTGCGTGTCTTATGGACACAGAGAGCAGGGCTTGAGAGTGAGCACGCATGAGTGCCCCCAGAGCAAGCAGCTTGCTCTGGGGGCACTCAGCTGGGGTGGAAGAGCCCAGAATGCCAAAATACCTTCCAGCAACAAAAAATCCATTCCAGCAGCAATAACCCCCCCTCCACCTGCAACAATAAATACTCTTGTATAAAAAGAGGTAGAGGAACTGAATGTATTCTCTCTTAAGAAGAGGAGATTAAGGGGGGGATATGATCAATATGTATAAATACATCAGTGGTTCATATAGTGAACTCAGTTCTCACCCTGAGGTCATCACAGAGGACAAGGGGGCACTCTTTAGGAGGAAAAGAAATGTAATCTCCAAACACGAAAAGGTTTCTTCACAGTAAGAGCTGTGAAAATGTGGAATAGACTCCCTCAAGAGTTGGTTCTGTCCAGCTCAGTGGATTGCGTTAAAAAAGGGGAATATCCGATTGCCTCTCGGAGGATCAGGAAGGGATTTTTACCCTTGCAGGAGCAGACTGGCTCATGCTTTGCTTTTTTTTTTTTACCTTCCTCTGGATCAACTGTGGGTGTAGGATTGCAACTTTTTTTTTGGGTTGAACTGGATGGACTTTTGTCTTTTTTCAGCCAGGGCTAACTATGCAACCCAGCAGCCAGCAACAATAGACCTCTCAGTCAACAGTAACTCCTTTCCAGCAAACTTTGCCCCCTCCCCCCCCAGCTATATAGGACTTCCCCAGCAACAATAGATTCCCCCCCACCAGCAACAATAGACCTCCCCAGCAACAATTACTTCTCCAGCACCGATACATCCCCCAGCAGCCAGCATCAAAAGACCTTCCAACACCTCTGGTCATTTCCCACCTTCCTGCTGAACAAAAGTCCTGATTCTTCATATAATTTTGCAATAAACGTCTCCTTCTCAGCACGGGTGCATTGGAGAGTATGGTGCTGCTTATACAGACGTGAGCTCTGGGAACAAGCCACCCAAAAAAAGAGCGGCTCCTCTGGGGGCAAGCCTTACATGTATTCCTCTTTACATTATTTGTATTGAATTTTCAGTAGGAAAGATTAACAGTGGTAGGAAAGTTATATGTTAACTGACGGAGAATTTGATGCTCTTACATCACCTTCATCTGGTCTACAGAGGATAATGTAGACATTTATTAGAATGAAGGATTACAGGTAATCACACACAGCACCACTTAAAATAATGCTTGCGATGTTTCAGTAAAAATAAGTGACATTAAAGGAGCTTTTTATATTTTTGTGAAAGTCTTATTACTAACGTATTGCTAATATCTAAACAGTATTCAGGGGCAGACTGACCATTTGGAAAGTCGGGTACTGCCTGAGGGCCCGGGGTCTGTAGGGGGCCCCATGAGATGCCCCTGGTACCTTTTTCATAGGCTTTTGTGAGTTTGGGCAAGGACACAGGAGCCCCATGATCCCCTATTGCCCGGGGGCCCCATGAGTTGTCAGTCCGCCCCTGACAGTATTGTTAGTAGTCTAGCTACTATAAATAACACATGTAACAAAGTTAGAAGCATGGCTAAGCACAAAAACTAAAGTGTAATGTATTGCAGCTTACCAGTCCTTAAACATGGAAGCTGCATTAGTTTTCTTTTTTTAGGCTTATTTCTTTTCTTGTTTTTACCTTATGATCCTGCCTCTAACACACTTGCTGTCGTAGATGTACTAGCAGATTTAGATGAACTAATAAATTAAAGCCAAACTACAGCTTACAGTGTTTAAGCAGTTACATCACCAGTTTGTTTTCTTTTAAGATAAAGGTTTAACATACAGTGGGGATCAAAAGTTTGGGCACCCCAGCTAAACATTTGTATTAATGTGCATAAAGAAGCCAAGGAAAGATGGAAAAATCTCCAAAAGGCATCAAATTACAGATTAGACATTCTTATAATATAAACAAAAGTTAGATTTTATTTCCATCATTTACACTTTCAAAATAACAGAAAACAAAAAAATGGCGTCTGCAAAAGTTTGGGCACCCTGCAGAGTTAATATCTTGTACTGCCCCCTTTGGCAAGTATCACAGCTTGTAAACACTTTTTGTAGCCAGCCAAGAGTCTTTCAATTCTTGTTTGAGGTATCTTTGCCCATTCTTCCTTACAAAAGTCTTCCAGTTCTTTGAGATTTCTGGGCCGTCTGTCACGCACTGCTCTTTTAAGGTCTATCCATAGATTTTCAATTATGTTGAAGTCAGGAGATTGTGAAGGCCATGGCAAAACCTTCAGTTTACGCCTCTTGATGTAATCCCCCGTGGATTTCGAGGTGTGTTTAGGATCATTATCCATTTGTAGAAGCCATCCTCTCTTTAACTTCAGCTTTTTCACAGATGGCATCAAGTTACCATCCAAAATTTGCTGAAATTTTATTGAATCCATTTTTCCTTCTACTCGTGAGATGTTCCCTGTGCCACTGGCTGCAACACAACC